TTCTTTAGAATAAAATATTGGTGCCCTAGCCAGCTGCATATACCTTGACTAATCTACCGGGTACTTGTTATCTTTCACCAATATAAGTATCATGTAAGTTTGTCCACCAAAATACTTAGATTGATGCTTAGAAATAACCTACCCTTTTTTTGCATCTTCAGGCTATCCCATGGTATATTCCATCTTTATTAACCGCTAGGTCACACACTTGGTTGAAAATAAGAAAGGACCTTCTATGGAAAGGAGTAAAGGCTATAATTGTGATCTGCTCAAGAGGAAAATAGCTTTAGTGGAGAAGGAGCAAGGAGGTTTAGGGGGTGACGGACCTGGGAGCACATAACACAAGTTTTTACAGTAAATGGCTATGGAGGAACAATTTAGAAAACAAGAAGAAAGAAGTGGTAAAGGAGCTTGGAAAGAAATCAGGAACTCAAGAGATAATTTCAATCAGCATATCAGAAGTTGCTTTTCTCGGACATTAAGATAAGGCATGGCCTACTGGGGGAACAATTCCCTATCCTTAGCAGACCAGCAGCTCAAGCAAATCTGACCATTGCACAACATAGGATTTTGAATTTTTTAGAAGATGAAATAGAACACTGGGAATGCTGGAAAAACATAAAATGCGGACAAGGGAAAGTAGATGCTATCATTTGGTAAGGTGATAGACATAATCCGCTACATCTAGAAAGAAGAAATCAGATATTCTTTAAAGATAAAACTACAGCAACACACCTTTTGAGATGTATGCATTTATTAGCTTTTTCATGTAAATTGGATTTCATAGAGGACACTACAACAACAACAACAACAACAAACCCAGTGCAATTCCACACGTGGGGTTTTATAGAGGACACTGATGAATTTTTATTTTTACCAGTTACCTAAGATTCTGAATAGGTGCTAAATGTAACATAACTGATCTTCTGTCTGTTAACAGAGAATCCACTGGATGCCTAGTGAATTATATTTTTTTTTAAATGTGTTATCAAAAATAATCCTTTAGCTACAAACTTTTTTTTTTGATAAGTTAATGTATTTCATAGAAAGCATCAAGAAGATGCAGAATTCAGAATTTACAAAGCAAAGGAATAGAGAAAAAAAGAAGAAGACAGTGTTAGCTCTATTACAAAAGGCCTAATCTAAAGTTAAGGAGCTAACAAAGTCCAAAAACGATTCAGGGGAGTTGACAGGGGAGAGATTACTCCAACTACAAAGACTTGTTAAACATCTAGCCTTAAGAACGTAATTTGGGGTAGTAATGCCTTCAAAGCATCTAGTGTTTCTTTCTGTCCAGATACACCAGAAAATGCACGCAGAGATCATCTTCCAAACTTTCCTGATGGATTTCCCAACCTTCCATGAGCTCCAGCTAACCAGGGCATTTTAGCTTTACTCAAAGAATTAGGCCGGCAGAGATAATGCAGACAATGAAAAATACGAAGATTAGAAAAGCTTGCGCCTTGGGGTCCGGACGGTATTCCCACAGAGGTTTGGAAGTATTTGGAAGAGGTTGGTGTGCGATGGCTTACCAAGCTACATAATGCTACACTAAGAAGTGGTAGTATGTCCAATGGCGGAAAAAATAAGTACCCTAATTGAATTTATAAGAGCAAACGAGATATTCAAAATTGTGCGAACTATCGTGGCATTAAGCTTATCAGCTAAGTTGCTCGGACTCTTCACTTACGGTGCCGCACTCGCATCTACACGACGCGGGTGTGGGTGTGGGATCTGAATGGATCTGGTAAATCAATTTTAGGTACTTTAACAAAAATCGACGAAAAAATTTGGGACAAATACATGATTTCTGAAATTAAAATAAAAGTTAGGGTGAAATTGAAGAAAATTGAATACCTTGTATATAGAAATTTCTATGTCAGTCATTTTCCTTTTATCTCTTTCATGGATCATCTGCTTGATTAATATTTTCTCCTTCTCGGAAAAACTTGTAAGTTTTTCACATAATGTCTTATAATTTAGACATATTTTTATAGCACTATTTCTAGATATTGAATTATTTTTAGCTGAATCCCCGCACTCATATCTGTACCTGGATCCGTATCCTTGAATATTAAAATTTAGATCATGAAGGATCTAACCTCTAGATTTGCACTCGTATCGGACACCCGCACCCGAGTCCGAGCAACTTAGCTTATCAGTAATACGATGAAACTCGGGAAAAGAGCGATAAAGCATAAAGGACACTACAAGAGTGACAGATAATCAGTTTGGTTTCTTACCTGGTAGATTTAGGAGGCTATATTCTTATTAAATAGATTGGTGAAATTTTATCGCGAGAGAGATTGATGGCTATATTCTTGTTGAGCATTATGTACACATTGTGTTCATAGACCTGGAGAAAGCGTATGATAGAGTACAAAGAAAGTTTCTTTGGTGGGTGTTGGAAGGAATTAAATATATAAATGCCATAAAGGACATGTGTGAAGAAGTTATCTCCCAGGATGATGCATTACTTGTCTTTTGCAGGAAGATTGACTCTTGTCATTAGAGTGCTAGTTAGGATACCTACATATCTCATGTCCCTTGTGCACATTACAGTCAATATAGAGAAGAGAATTTCTAATGGGAAAGTAACTCTGAAAGGAGGAAATTTCATAGGGTGAAGTGGAAAGAAGTAATCGAAGGTAAAAAAGGTGGTGGAACGGGTACAAAAAATCTTAGATTGTATAATAAAAGTCTTCTGTTTAAGTGGCTATAGAGATATGATGATGAAAAGCAAGAATTGTGGAAAGAAGTTTAAATATCAAATATAGTATGATGGACTGTTGGAGGCCAAATCCTGTTCTATTTTTGGTAGAGGAGCAATTTGGAGAAATATCAGTAGGATGTGGGAGGGAATTTCAACAGTATGGTAAGATGGAAATAGGGAGTGGAAGGAGAATAAAATTTTGGAAGACTGACGATAGCCATGCAGCACCTGTATGAAAGTCATTACTATCCCGTTAAGGACAGGTTTTTTTGTTCATATGTCAAGGGCTGGATGGACAATGGGAGACTCAAAGATCAGTTTGCTACTTTGTACATTTTAGCAGTAAACAAAAACTGTTTGGTTATTGATTGTTTTTCAGGAAATGGATGGCAGCTGAATTTTAGGAGACATTTCAATGACTGGGAACTCAATGAAGTCAGCCAGCAATTAAATTTATTGGAGCCGCATGCTTGGATGACAGCAGAAGGGATTCTCTAAGATAGAAGGCAGGAAACAATGGTACCTTTTCTGTTAAGAGCTGCTACAACATGTGACAATTGGGATGGGGATTGGCAATGGATGATGCTCCGGGAGAACAAGGCACCTATAAAGTTGCTTGTTTTGGTTGGGTGGCTGCAAAAAATGCCACAGATCTGGGGAATTTAACTGTGCTGCAGATGCTTTTTGTGTGAAAAAGCAGGAATCTCTCCTAACCATATGCTTCGTCACTGTGAGTTTACCTGGCAGATCTGGACAACGTTTTTAAATATTTTTGGAGTTCAATGGGCCATGGCATATAAGGTGAAGAGTATACTGCTTAGCTGGCATGCACAAAAAATTATTACTAGCAGATAAAAAATACCTGGAGAGCTATCCCGTTATGCATCACGTGAAGTACTTGGCTTGAGAGAAATAAGAGATGCTTTATGGAGAAAACAACATACTATATCTTTTGTAAAATATAGGTGCTTACAGAATTTATATGTTTGGCGTAAGGAACAGATTGTAGGGGAGGTTTCTCAACTTGTTGATTTCATAGAAACTATGAGCTGATAGCTATTGTGTTGTGGATGTAATCTTTTTGTTGTACTTTTGCAGTACCTCCTTGGTACTTGCTTTAATAAAACACCATTATCTTATCCAAAAAAAGGTATACTGCTATACTTTTTCTTCCCCTATAAAGGATAAGTTGATCTGCTATACGTTTTCTTCACCAATTGCTTATAATGGTAATTCTTTCATGTGATAATAACTGGACATATTGACATGGATAAAACAGGTATGATGAGGTGTTAATACATTGAAATTGGTGTAATGATCAACTGATTTTCTGCTCGGCCTAGTCTACTAGATGAGCTCCATGCTTTTAACCAAGCTACTCACACCTAGTCACTTGTGAAACAACCCCCCCTCCCAATTGCAGTTACTGCAAAGCCAATAAATGATGTTAAGCGAAGTGACATCTGTTCTTATTAAACTTTCCTTTTGAAGTCCCCAAAGTATGGACAGGGCCGTAGAATTAGCGTGGTAAGTTTAAAGTTGAGGTGCATGTACTACATCTTCTTCCTTTCAAATCTGAAATTGGAGTCCTGTATGAATAGAAGAACCTTGGACCTAGGTGAAAAAAGGTACTAAAAACTAACAGAACAACTGTCGTATTTATTGCACCAACGGTATCTACAAGATGAATATATAACTAGAACAGAAGCAATTGCTCCATTGGTAAAGTATGAGACGTCCAGAAATTCAGGACAGCAGGGGAAAAAGCAAACCTCAAGGTCAAAAGTAAAGAAACCTCACGGTGATACCAACATATTCATCAAGAATAGAGGTTAAGGCGTACCAGAATGACTTATTCAAGTATCTGTTTTGTTGTTTACCCTCTTTACTCTAACCTGGCATAGCCAATTCAACCTCCCAAGAGGATAATAAGGACTACTGAATTACGGACAAGGTTATTTCCAGACACTTGGAAGAGATATTTATGCATCCAATTCAATCCGTGCTTAAAAGACACCCTCTTTAGTCTAAACTAGCATAGCCAATTCAACCTCCCAATAACTAAGGATAATAAAAGCTACTGAATTAAGGGTAAGGTTATTTCCAGACACTTGGAAGAGATTTTTGTGCATGAAATTCAATCCGTGCTTAAAAGACTTTTCCCACTTCTATGCTACCGGAGAAGTGGAAAAATAGTAAAACTTCATGGACGACCATTTTGTGATAGAGAAAGGGTAAGCTCAGCATAAAAAGGTATAAATAAAATTCCGACCCAAAAGAAACAAGATTGTCAATGAATCAAAAATTGTAAAAGAACTCGTGATAGAGCTGAATGAATAGCTCCATTTAACGAGGTAACCACCCATATTGTCCATAAATTAACTTTTAAATACAAACATGCATAGAGCTCTTATTAAATGCGAAAAGACTCTCCATCTAATCAATTATCCATTTGTAATGAAGGACAAGTAAAGACAAGCCACACAATGCAATTTAAATAAATCATTTGACCTCCTTATCAGAAAATAATGTCCTCGTCTTTCTGTGAAGCATGGGATAGCAAGTTATGGGCTGTACCTAGCGAAATACCTCTCTTCAAGGAAATTTCTTCTGCAGCCTTCTCCTCTGCATATTGCTTGGAAGCTAGCATCTGTCTCTCTACCTCCCTCTTCTTGTAACCTTGTATCTTCTTCAGACGAAAGAAATCTTCCCTTTCCAGTTCATCAAGTTCCCCTTTGATGTAAAGCACTGTGTTCTCCAACCGTGGCTTCACAACATTCTCCAATGCATTAACCCTCCGATTTGTGGTCTTGATCGCCTCATCAAGAGTCAAGAATGATGTCTGTAGAGAGGCAAGCTCAACAAGCAACTCAATAGATTTCACGTAAGCAGCACGGCAAGCTTGCACCTGTTGCCCCCCTCTAGCTAATCCAGTCAGGTCATTCTTTGTCTCTCCTTCAGAGAAATGCTCGAATTTAGGGAGCTTTACACCCGCAATATT